GACAAAATAACAAGAATTTGGCTCCAAATTTTTTATCTCCAGAACTTTGTTTCATGATTTTCCTTTGTTTTTGAGATACATCCTATCCACTGCTGCAGGTGATTAAGTAACGTTTTTTCAACTATTGTTTCTAATTGGCCAGTGTGTGTTAAATCTGTTGTGTGGGTATACAGCTGGAAATTACAGTACCAGTGAATTTTTTATTATTGGTATTAGAGCAAAAGATCTAATTTAACACAATGAATTACCTTGTTGGACTGATCCTGGGTCAATTCACCATCTTGTGACAAACCAGATACAACATTCATGGTGGGAAGAAATGCCACAGTAACCCTCCCATTAATACCTGATGATGAAGTCTAACAAAAGAGTCATTATATTTGAGACATGGAAATAAAACTTGTATTATCTAACGTTTATTTTCAACTCAAAATAATACTGTTATTATGATAATTATTTCAAAGGAAAAAGAGTAAAATGTAAAGCATCATTTTGTTTGAAAATTGTACAGTGGCATAATTTTAGGAAAGGCCATTAAAAAGAGTATTGAAAGCTTGAAAGTGTTAAATCAAAGAAGCCTGTTCCTGAGCTAAATCAGGGTGAAATAGTAAACAATGCAATAAAAGTGGCAGAGTGAAATATTTCAGGGCTGGTCATGTCAAGAGATTTTTCTAGTGAGATCTTTGTGCAACCGGAACCACACCTTCCTGGTTTTTTCACTCCTGACAGATCTAGACAGACTGGAATCAAATAAAAAAGAGCATCGCCTTGAACAACTATTGTCCATACCCATTACATATAATCCATTAGACCATTATTTTTGTTCATTCAGTCTTTACCTCTTGAAATGTGGGATCCACCAGTGATGTGTCACCTTTCTGCACCTGAAGAAATCACGAAACAATCAGCGAACCATTTCACTTCCAAGACCATAATACAAATTCTCTACATTCATTACTTTGCATTCCTTGTCATCTAAGCTTTAAGAATTTTGTAACTAATTGTAAAAAACCTCTCTGCAGGTTGATGTTTATTCTCACCACTAATCACCTTTCCACTTGAAAAGGTATAAAAAAAAAATAATGAATCTTGAAAGGAAAAATCAATTTTGATCACTTCCATGTTACAATTCAAAAGATCTAACACCAAAATTTCTGTGCTGAGTTAGTTTCCTTACCAAAGAACAGGAAGAGACAAGGTCGTACATTTCTATTCCAGCCTCTCCCAATGCCAGTGATGCACAAATTATTCCTGCAGAAAGAGCTGTATTATACAGAAAACAACAAAATTGGTTAAAAATTTAAATTAAACAAA